ATGATGCCACAATCCATCCTTGACTTCATCCCCACAGTAGCCGACAAGTGTCGGGACTGTCGTAAGGGGCTTCTGCCAGCGCGCGAGACAATCCTCACGCAAAGCCCTTCGGCGCGATTTCACTGGCACGTTGCGTGCGACATCATTCATTCGAAGGATCGCATGATTCTGCTCTTGATCTGCAGCACTTCGCGGTGGCATAGCGGCCAGGAGATCGCGGACATAAGCGATTAAACGATGATGTCAGCAGTTGACAGGTGCTGGTCCAGCTGTTTGGACCAATGGAGACCTTCATCGTGGACGGCGAAGGCGGGGTGACCTCCAAGCACCCCGTGGAGGAGATGTGGAGGAGCGGTGCTTAGGTGGACATCCATGCTCCGCGTCAGCACGCTCGTTTCATAGAGCGACGTGGTGCAGTGCTACGACATGCGCTGCGCGCCGCCCAAGAGCAGCTGGAGCGCGAAAGTTTTGCCGCCAGCTTCGACTTCATGCTGACCCATGCCGTTTTCGCAGGCAACAGCCTCGCCCGCGTGGGGGGCCTTGCGCTGTGCAGCGTCGTCTTCGGCAGCCAGCCCTCAATGCTGCCGCTGCTCGAGGCAGACGAGGAGGGTGAGAGCGGTTCTGTCATTGGAGACCGCCCCAGTGCTGGCGTTGAGGTGCAACCCAGCCAGTTGCAGTGGCGTGTCTGTGATATCGCCCTGCAGCGCATGATCGCGGCTACCTCGGTTGCCCTCGTCTGCCGCGCCCTTCGGATACGCGCCGCAGAGACTAGAGAGGGGCGCTTCAACGTGGGTGATCGCGTGGAGGTTCCCCGGCCTCCCAGCGCCGAGGACGTGTCAGGCCCTGCGCCGCCCTCTTTGTGGACCCGGCCGGAGGCAAGGTTGCGGTCTGAGATGGTTTGCAGACTGCATGACTTACGTGACTTCATCGGCGGCGTCTTCGACGATATGGGCACCACCATGGCGCGAGCAGGCCAGGTCTTGGATCGCGTGAAGGACTTCATAGAACACATCGCGCCAGGCTCACGAGCCAGGACCTTCGGCCATCGGGAGAGGGGGCGCGGCGAGCAGCTGACCGAGCGGTTGGGCAACGCCCTGATGTCTACGATGCTTTGCGCCATTTGACCCGCGGATATTTCAGCTACCTGGCGTCCGTGCAGTGCGTCTCGTGCGTGGCCAGAAATCAGTGGGCGACTGGCCGGGATGCGCCCGCAGTCTGGTCATGTGGAGGTTCCTTCGGAACCCTAGCGACGTCCGCCAATCGCACATGGAGGGCGCCGTGTTCGACGCCCGCAGCCTCAGTGGCGAGCAGTGGAAGGATGCTCGCATCATCCAGTCTGTCCTGGGTGACGAACAGCTGCTGACAGCCGACGCCGGGCAGGGCCAGGGCGGGGCGGTCGATGACTCCATTAGCGACGCCCCCGAGGACGCCGCCAGCGTCGCCGAAGTGTGTCACCACGAGCCCTGTCGATCATGCCCGAGGAGGGCGACAGCGACTTCTGGCCACGTCCAAAAGGCGATGTTGGCAGCTTTGCAGTGGGTCGAGGGCGAGGGGTCCGACCCAGGAGCTGCAGGGGCTGGAGAACATCGACAGCCAGCAGATGGTCTACGCTGCTGTCGAGCACGCGGCCCCTCCAGCATAGGCCGCCCGCCGCGCGCGCGGCCCCGGCGCCCGGCGGCGCAGCGCCAGCGGCAGGGCGTCCACGCGCAGCGTCACGACTATTTGCGCGGCGCCTCTCTGGGCGACTACGCAAAGCTAGAGGAGGGGGGTGAAGGGGGATGACACTTGGATCTGTACTTGGACCCTGGAGTGCGAGAGGCCTTTTGGGGCGACCACGAGAGCAGTCATGTTGCCTGCGCGTCCGCCGCAGCCGTGCTTGAAGTATATGCCGCCGTCTAGGCCCGCGTAATCAAGCGCGACGCCGATCTCATATCCTAGGAGGAGGTGTCGAGGCAGTCCCGGGAGGTGGCCGTGGCCATCCTCGAGGGGCTCACGATCTGGGTCGAATGCAACTGTTCGGAGCGACGACCTTTCAAGGGCGCTTGGAACGTCGTGGGCTCCAGACGTGTGTTGAAGTGGAAACGCCGCAAGGGACCTGACAGCAAAACGGTCACTGACGGTAAACCGGCCAGGGTCATCCCTCGCCGCGCGGCGCTGGGGGGCTTCTGCGACATGGGCGCCGGAGCCCTGGAGACGTTCGCCAGTGCGGCGAAACGGGCGTTCCAGGGCGTTCTGTCCTCAGAGGCGGCTTGTCGCCCAGACTGGGTGTGCGTCGCCGTGGGCGCCGAGAGGGCTGCCTGCCGGGCGTGACTTATGCCGAGATGAAAGAGCAGGGCGAAGCGCCGCGAGAGGTGAACCTCACCCTGCCGCCCGGCAGTGTTGCCATCCTCCGGCAGGCTCCAGGCTTCGAGTTCTTCGACGCGCGGACCGAGTGCCTGCGCTGCGTCGAGCGGGGCGCGGGCAGCAAAGGCGCGACCGGAGCTTTCTCCGTGGAGCTCGCCAGGGTCACGCGCTCGCCCGAGTGCACCACTGAGCCGACACGGTGGGGCCCATATCTTGAGGTCAAACACGAGTCGTCGGGCGCTTGTGGTGCCGGCAGCTCAGGGTTGGTGCTGATGTTGTCCTGGCGCGTTGACGCTCTAAAGATCCGCAGGGCGCGAGGAGAACGTCGATCGACTCATCGGCCTCGTCGGGGGCGTTTTCGGCAAGACGAAGGGGGGCTAGATGCGACGACTTCGCCAACTGCGGAGTCCACCAGCACCTTCGTGCTGGTTGAGCAGTGACGTTCGACCAGGACGAGTACATCGACGCGTTGATCTCCATCAGGCACGTCGACCTGGTCAAATTGAAGGCCGACGAGCTGGCCGGATGCCGACTCCGAGACCTGTTTGTCTCCCTCTCAGGAGCAGCTGCCTGCGCGCCGTTCGCAGCGCCGCGTTGCCGTCTACGTCGTCGCGCTGCAAGGGGACAGCCAAAAGCCGCTGATCAGACGCGTGATGCAGCTTAACTCCGTCGTTGTGACCATGCAGAAGATCAAGGCCTGCGTTGCCTTCCCGGCTATAGAGTGCGCGGGCCAGATCTGCGTGCGCATCGACAGCTCGTTCGAGCATGAGGAGGAGACAGGGTGTGGCGCGCGTGGCGCCGTATGCATGCCTCTGGGGAAGTGTCGCAGTACAGATGAACGGATCTGCCATTTGCTCGACGCTGTGAGCCGATCGCGCAAGCATGCGTGTCGATCCTCATTCGGCTCTGAGCTGCTCGCGTCATGTGGAGCAGCAGACGGCCCGCAGTCGTACCTTCTGACGCTCCGCGAAATGGTGCGCGGACCCGCCTCAGCAGATGGGATCGCGAGTATGAGGGGGGAGGGGGGGTGCGCTGTGCCTGAAGAGCTGGTCGTGGACAGCATGTCCGTTTTTTGCCGCTTGGCCATGGGCCGCGTGCGGCCTCTATCGGAGAAAAGTATGGCAGGCCACCTGTGGCGGCTAGCGGACCAGCTTCGCGACCAGCAGATCTCCGACATACCGAGGTACGATACTCGCGGCATGAGGGCCGACCCCATGACAAACGGAAGTACCGACCTGGAGCTCACCATCGACACCGCGGAGGGGGAGCTCGCCTACGAACACCCCGCAGCGAGGTTGAGCAAGGAGCGGCGCGAGAAGACGGTGCCGAGCTCCCGCCCAAGCAACCTCGACAAGGGCATAAACGACGCCACCGTGTAACCCAGTCGGCGTCTCATGTCCGGATTATGTTCGCGAATGCAACGGCCGACAGGCATATCGCGAGCCTTGTTCGCAAATGCAACGCGGTCCGTCAGGAAGGAGGCAGGCAGGGGCTTGCATCTCGTGGACTGTACTCGCGAATGCGACGCGGCTGGCGAGAGCGAGATGAAAAACGAATCATGTCAGTATGAGGGCTGTCGCCGTCAACTTTGATGATGTGGCGGCAATGTTCTGGCAGCTGAGCATGCAAGTCGGTCGGTGCCTGCTCCCGCAGATAGTCTGCCGCCCCGCAAGTTTTGATGAGGGGCCCGGTTAGTAGAGGGTTCGCCCATTCAGTTCATATGAGCGGGGTGGTCAGCAGAACCCCGTGCATTGTCATCATTCATTATATGTGCGCATGTTTTTTGAGTGAGATTTGGCCATTTGAGGGTCGTTTCAGCTTAGCTTGACTTTGCTTTGCTGGCTTGGGTGTGGCTTGCACATCCGAGCCCGGGAGGCATTACCATACCCTCAAGCACCAGGCTAACCTGCCGTGCCCGTGTTATTCTCGCCCAGTACACACAGTGCTAAACATCGCTTGCTGCAAACCAGTGCGCTTTCATCTCTCACCCTTGAGTTCTTTCTCCTCCTCCTCCTCCTTCTCCTCCGCCTTGTTTTTCTCCTCCCCTCTTTTTGCGATGGACAAACGCTGGTTGGCGTTAACCGTTCCTCCTCCTCCTCCTTCCCCTCCTCCTCCTCCTCCTCCTCCTCCTCCTCCTCCTTCTCCTCCTCCTCCTCCTCCTCCTCCCCCTCCTCCTTCTTCCCCTCCTCCTTCTCTTCCTCCTTCTCCTCCTCCTCCTCCTCATCATCATCCTCCCATTTGTCCTCCGCCTCTTCCTTCATCCCTCCCCTCTCCTCCCTCCTCTCTTCTCCCTCCTCTCTTCTCCCTCCTTCCTTTTCCTTTCTTACTCCTCCCTCTTCCCTCCCCCCCTCCCTCCTCCGTCTTTCTGCGTCCCCCGTCCCTCCTCCCTCCTACCCCTTCCCTCCCTCCTCCCTCCCCCGTCCTTCCTTCTCCCTCCTCCCTCGTTGTTCCCTCCTCCTTTTCCTCCGCTTCCTCTTCCTCTGGGAGGAAGGCGAGGGCGAATCGTGGGTTTGATGGAGGCAGTGAAGAGAGAGGGAAGGACGGAGGCCAGAACAGCGAGGCGGGGGGGAGGAAATGGGGCGGGAGGCGGGGACGGGAGACTAAGTGTGCCGTGCACAGCCAGGCTCCACAACTGCAGCGCTGCCGTGCCCACCTCGGCTCGAGGGGCTGCCAGTGCGGGTGCGCGGTGCCCGCCGCTATGCTGTGCGAGGCCCCTGCGGTCCTGGGCCCCCTGCTGCTGCTTCGGCCGGGCGCTCGGGCATGGAGGCGGCCGTCACGCCGCAGATCCTCGAGGCGCTGGGGGCTGTCTTGCCCGAGGACGCGCCGGCTGAGCATGACGCGTGGCACAAGGCTCGGGGGCGCCAAAGGGGGTTCAGGGGCAGGGGAGTTGTGGACAGCATGGCCAGGGCCATGAAGAAACCTCCCAGAGTCAATTGCCCCTCCTTCTTCTTCTTCTTCTTCTTCTTCTTCTTTTTCTTCTTATGTGTTTCTTTATGTTTTTCTTGCTTGTCTTCTTCTTCTTCTTCTTCTTCTTATGTTTCTTATTGTTATTCTTCTTCTTATTCGTCTTCTTCCTCTTCCCCTTCTTCCTATTCCTTTTCCTCTTTTCTTCTTCTTCTTCCTCTTCTTCTTCCTCCTCCTCTTCCTCCTCTTCCTCCTCTTCCTCTTCTTCCTCTTCTTCCTCACCTTCCTCCTCCTCTTCCTCTTCTTCCTCTTCCCCCTCTTCCTTACTCCTGTTCTCCTTATTTCAAACGTTCCCTGGCATCTCCTTTCTTGCACGCATGCCTCGGGCCGTGATGCGCCAGCCCCCCTTCTCCAGGCCTCCCCTCTTCGGCGCACCCGGAAGGTGACGTTCAGCAGCAAGCACCCTGCCAGGTGCGCGATCAAGTTGCGCGGTGTTCAATGCCAGACCACCCTCGCGGCTTGCCTCACCGAGGAGGCCACGCTGCGTGTTGCCAGGGCGTGCTACGTGAAGCTCTCGGCCGGGGAGTCCAAGGAGCAGGTGATCAAGTTCAGGGACGAGATCTACGCCAGCATCAAGGGGATCATGGGCATCACAGAGGCCCCCCCAGAACGACATTAACATAGTCTTTCGAATGTCCGCGCGGATTTCCCTGGGACGCTAGGCCTCCCAGATGGGGTCGGAGGATCGCGCCGAATCGCCGATGCGTCGGCGATGCGGCTAGATGTGGAGCCCGACTCTCTCCACGCCGATGGCGCCGAGGCTTCTCCGACGTCGGCGATTCGGCGCGATCCTCCGACCCCATCCGCTCGGACCCCATCCAGGAGGCCTCCACAGATTACATTCTCAACCTGCAACTTCGTCATGGCCCCTCCTCCCTCCTCCTTCTCCTCCTCCTCCTCCTCCTCCTCCTCCTCCTCCTCCTCCTCCCTCCTCCCTCCTCCCTCCTCCCTCCTCCCTCCTCCCTCCTCCCTCCTCCTCCCTCCTCCCTCCTCCCTCCTCCCTCCTCCTCCTTCCTGCGCCTCCTCCTCCGCCTCCTCCTCCTCCTCGGGACCGTGCCCCCCTCCCCGCACCCCCTCCCCGGCCCGCGCGCGTGGAGCGCACAGGGCCTGCGCTGCCGGAGGGGCGCCATTCCGGTTGGGAGGAGGGGGAGGAGGAGGAGGAGGAGGAGGAGGAGGAGGAGGAGGAGGAGAGAGGAGAGGAGCAGAGGAGGAGGAGGAGGAGAGGAGGAGGTGGAGGAGGAGGAGGAGGAGGGAGGAGGAGGAGAGAGGAGGAGGAGCAGAGGAGGAGGAGAGCAGGAGGAGGAGGAGGCGGAGGAGGAGGAGGAGGAGGAGGAGGAGGTGGACTTCGAACGGCTACGCCCGTGCCGTTTTTTGGGGCCCCCTGGCGTCAGCTCCAGCGGGGCTCTCGGGTGGGCGCTCGAGCACCAGTCGGGGAGGCGTAGAGCTCGAGCTTCTGCGGGCCCCCAGCGTGGACTTTTGGCTTTTCCGACGGCCCCCCCCCTGATGGCTCCTTCGGTAGCAAATCATGGGAGCCTGGCATACCCTCTTAATCCCGTCTCTAGCGTCGATTAATGTCTGAGAGTCGATGATATAGCGCCGATTTATTATCGTCGATTTAGCGTCGATTTAGCGTCGATTAGCGTCGACTAGCGTCGATTTGCGTCGACTCGCAAGAGCCGAGAAGATGGTATGGAAGGCTCCCATGAGTTGCCACCGAAGGCTCCGAGTCCCCACCACGACGCCATCCGATCAGATTTTTCCCATCCGCGGCCTCATCAGAGGTCTCGATCCCTTCTCCCGAGAGGCTAGTGTTGCGCCCCGGCTCCGTTTTTGATTTGGTCCCGCGAAGCCTCCCTTGGGGCCCAGAGGCAGAAAAATCCAGGAAGTCCGCCCAGATGGAAGAGCCATATCGTCGGAGCTCTGGGTCCCTGCGTTCAAGTCGGGCGTGTCCCTCTACAGGAGGAATCACCAAGACCAGTCAAACAACATCGTATTTTTTTAAATAATTGTTGAATAGTTTCTCAGGCTGTCGTCCAAGATCCGCCTGTAGGAGGACATGCCCGACCTAACCCTACGTCTCCCCGCGCCAGCGCCGAGACCTCCTGCGGGGCGCCAGTGGGGGCCTCGCAGCGGTGGGCGCCGCGGGCGGCGCGGGCGTGGCCGCCCGCGGCGCCGCCTCGGGCAGCACGCCGCCCGGCGGCTCGCCGCCTGGCGAGGCCCGCCGGCCCGAGGCTGTTGCCGAGCCGCGGGCCGATGCCGGCGCGGCCCAGGAGGAGAGGGCTGGAGGGTTTCCCCCAAGGGCTTAGGCGACCCGTCCTCCTCCTCCTCCTCCTCCTCCTCCTCCTCCTCCTCCTCTCCCCTCCTCCTCCTCCCCCTCCTCCTCGTGCTTCTCCTCCTCCTCCTCCTTCCCTCCTTCCTCCTCCCCCTTCTTCCTCCACCTCCTCCACCTCCCCCCCTCCCCTCCTCCACCTCCTCCTCTTCCTCCTCCTCCTCCCGCCTACGGCCCCAGGGGAAACCGTGCAGAGAGGGCTGCACGCAAGAGTAACCTTTCGGCAGAGTGACCTTCCCTCAGGTCTGGGCGTTGCAATTTTTTCGCATCGGGCGTCCTCGCCCCCTTTCGAGTTCTTGGACCCTCGCAGATCGATCCAGCTCGAAAAATAAGGTAGAACGATGGGGCCCAGGTCTCTGGTCGTGATTTTTGGCGATGTTGCATTTTTTTTTTTGCAACATCGTATCTCAGGGTTTGGGGTGGACCCCCTGTTTCGGCCACGCTCGCAGGACGGCCTGTTGAGTTGGCTTGCTGTGATGTCTCTCTCTCTCTCTCTCTCTTACGAGCGCTTGTGCGTACTGCGTGCAATCGGGAGCGCCCTTCTGACGGATAGCGAAGTCCTCCTCCTGCCTCCTTGCCTCGGAATAGTGCGGGCCCACCGTGGTCTCACCAGCAAGGGCTGGCGCGTTTGCTCAGCTTGCCCCGCGGCCCCCCAGACAGAGCCGCGCTCCAGAGGTCACTCTTGCCCAGGGTCACTAGTGCGTGCGGCCGATCAGGAGGCGGCCAGGAAGCGGGCTCGGCTGGACGGCGGCGCCGTGGAGGCGGCCAGGCGGGAGCTCCAGGCGCAGGGCCGCCTGGAGGGCGCGCTGCTGGTGGAGGGCCGGGCGCCGGAGCGGAAGAACGCCTCGATCAACGGCGTCTACGCTCGCCGCGCCGAGGCCGTCAACGGCCACGATTCCTGGGAGATGGTGAGCCCAGAGCCCGCCTCGAGGTTTTTGTACTATCCTGAGAGGCGTCCGCCTTGCCTGCCGAGCCCCGCGCAATGTGCGCGGTCAGTGACGACTGCTGGGTGTTGTTCGGGTGTCCTGTTGGAGTGTGGGGCGTATGGCGAGGAGGAGGAGGAGGAGGAGGTGGAGGAGGAGGAGGAGGGAGGAGGAGGAGGAGCAG